GTTTGTAGCTACAATTTGGCTGCTATTAGCATTTAATTAGCCTTTTGCAACGTTTGACTTCTAGCTAGCCTTTTGTTACTTGTAGCTACCATTTTGTTGCTTTTAGCTAACATTTGTTGCTTTTAGTTAAATTAGCTACTCTTAGCTGTTGTTTTGCTACTTTAAGCTTTTACCCAGCCTTTTGCTATTTTTTTTAGCCAACATTTAAATCTCTGAACAGCTCCGCCCCCTCTTATCTCTCTGATCTGCTGCAGCCATATGTCCCACAGCCTCTCTGAGGTCAGCAGACCATTGGTTCCAGGAGGTGACAGAACCTTCTCTGTTGCAGGTCCAAGACTGTGGAGTTACCACTGCACGTCAGGCAGGCTCCCTCACTGTTTTTAAATCTTGCTTAAAATCCACTTTGATTCCCTGGTTTTGACACGGAGTGATTTTGTTTTTAACCTGCCTGTACTTTACAACGTTAGACATTTAGTTCTTATCTTCTTCCATTTGGATCTATGTATTTTATCCTGTGTGCTTTGCCTGTTTTCTCTCCTGTACAGCACTTTGGTTGGACTTGTTGCTCTTTTTAGTGCTTTATAAATAAAGTGGTGGTAACATTGATGTTGCTTTAAGCTGAGTTTACTCTTAACGTTGTTGTTACATTTGTTGCTTTTAGCTATCAATTTACTTTTAACAAGCTTTTTGCCACTTGTAACTTCTGTCCCACCTTTATATACGTTAAACATCTTGGTGTTATTTTTGATCAGGACATGTCTTTTATCCCCCACATTAAAAACGTTATTAGAACCTCCTTCTTCCACCTGTGTAATATCACTAACATTAGAAACATCTGATCTAAAGATGAAGCAGAAAAACTGGTCCATGCATTTGTCACGTCTAGACTGGACTATTGCAATGGTTTATTATCTGGGTGTCCAAATACTTCTTTAAAACGTCTTCAGTTGATCCAAAATGCTGCTGCCAGAGTCTTAACTGGAGTTACTGGGAGAGATCATATCTCTCCAGTTTTAGCTTCTCCCCAGTGGCTCCCTGTCAAATCCAGAACTGAATTCAAAATCTTAGTGCGGCTGTGGCTGAGTGCTTAGAGCAGTCGTCCTCCAATGGGAGAGTTTGGGTTTGATTCCACCAGCAGTCACATGCCGAAGTGTCCCTGGGCAAGACACTGAACCCCTCACTGTCTCCGATGCGTGTCCCATCAGTGAATGAATGTGATCTAAAGCACTGATTAGTCTCTTTAGAATGATTTGTTCAGTTAGCTTTGTAGAGATCTAGTATAGAGCTGTGTGAACGGGTAAATGAGGCACAGATTGTTGTAAAGAGCTTTGAGTATCTTGATCAGATAGAAAGGTGATATATAAGTACAGTCCATTTACTTCTAACCTACAAAGCTCTCAACAACCTAGCTCCATCTTATATTCGAGATCTTATTGTTCCATATTTTCCTAACAGAGCACTTCGCTCTCACGCTGCAGGTTTACTCGTGGTTCCTAGAGTTTCCAAAAGCAGAACGGGAGGAAGATCTTCCAGTTCTCAGGCTCCTCTCTTGTGGAACCAACTTCCAGTTTCTGTCCGTGAGGCTGACACATTGTCCAGAAGAAGAAGAAGGAGGAAGAAGAAGAAGGAGATGAAGAAGATTCTGTCAGCAGTAGGCAGGACAGGTCCACGTTTCACTTCCTGTCCTCTTTGTCTGAGGACACACCTGCACAGGTGTCCACCTGGACTCATCCTGAAGACGTCTTAAGAATGAAAGAAGCAACAAGGACAGAGATTTGTCTGAATGCACCTGTGTCCCCCCCTCCCCCACCTCAACAGGCCTCACAGCGGCGGTGAGGGAGGGGGCAACAAGCTGTGACGGCTACAGTCAGTGAAAAGACTCACCAGGTGACAAATGACCTTTATAAAGGAGTTGTTTTAGCTTTTATGAAAACGTGTTTGCGTTTGTGAAGCCGCCTTTTATTCCTTTCAGTTTTAGACGTTTTGAGTGTTTGTTCAGTTTTTTTAGCTCCAACCAGCGTTCCGGACTACGTCTCTGTCAAACAGTCCTGACGTTATCCCTTTATGAACCCAAGGCACAAAGCACACTCCAAGCCTCTCCATAAACGCTCGGACGATTGAAAACAAACAGAAAGGAGCACTTCCTGGAGGGGGCGGAGCCATCTGCAATAAAAGAAAAATTTGTAGCAACTGATGTTTTACAAATGAAGTGAGAAATGAGGTTCGGTGTGAGCGCCTCTCACATCCAGACTGCGATGGCTGCAGGGCTGCATGCACCTGGGAGATGAGGGCAGTCATGGAGGGGGGACCCTGGGGGGGAGGGGGGGCCCGGTGTGTCAGATCTGCTCATAAATCTCCCTCTGGTCTGATCAGGCCCGTTTAAACACATCGGAAGCAACGCCACGAGGGACAGGGGGAGGAGAACTCCCCAGGACTGAAAGTTTTCCAAAAGTTTCACCCAAGAAGAAGAAAAGATGAAACTTTAGACTCTGATGAAGACGTTACGATAAGAAGCCTGCAGCTTCAAAAAGTCACTGAAGTCGGTAAAACCTTCAAAAACCGTTAATCCGGAAGTTTAAAAGCCATAAATGTTGGTGGTGTCTTTTATTTTAAATAAAGTTTTGAGAAGTACAAAAGTTGTAAAAAAAAACGACTACAAGAGCTGAATCTTTCGATGCGTGACGGGTTCGTTCAGCGCAGAAGTAGAAAATGCTTTAAAATTAAAAACGGTTTTTAAAAATAGACAGAACTTGTAAACAACGTTTTGTTGTTTGATGAGATCTCGAGAAGTTTGTGCTCTGAGCATGTGCTGAGGCTAATGCTCAGCTACTACCACAACTGGATTAATAATAATAATTATTATTCAATATTATTATTATTCGCCTGTTTTTTCTTCAGTTTCTGTCACAGTTTTTGATTTTCTTCTCCAGCTCTAGAAACAAACATTAAACCGTAGAGTGCCGTTTGGAAACGAGTTATGATCTTTAGCAGCAGAAAATCAAACGGCTGAAATGAAAGGAGTAAAAAACAAAAACAACTAAAAAGAAAAATAACAAAATTGTATTTCCTGTGAAAATGCAGTACGAATGCTTAAGAACAACAAGCCTAAATTAGCAGAAGAAAGCAGAGATAACATATTTGCTGAATTAGTTTAAATAAGCAGAAATGAGCACAAAATTTAGGAAATTAGCTAAAAAAAAAATGAAATTAGCAAACAATAGCTGAAGATAGCTGAAAAGGCAGAAATAAACTTAAACTACCCGAAGGAGCTGATATGAGCTAAAAAAAACGTGGAATTAGCTGAAAAAGCTAAACTTAACATAAAACAGCTAAAAGTAGCTGAAATAGCAGAAAAAAGCTGAAAGAAGCATAACAAGCTAAAATTAAACTAAATAAGTTAATTAGGCTGAAAGATGCAGAAATGAGCACCAAAAAAATCGAAAATTATTGGAAAAAGTTTAAATTAGCAAAACAAATAAACAAAAAAACAGATGAAAAGTAGCTAAAAAGCAGAAATAAGCTGACATTACAAGGAACTGGAGAGCACATTTTTGCTAAATTGGGCTGAAAAAAATTAAAAGAAATGTAAAAAATGTAGAATTAGCTGAAAAAGTTTAAATTAGCATAAAATCAGCTATAGTAGCTGAAATGGTAGAAAAAGCTGAAACTTGCAAAACTCAGCTGAAATGAGCACAACAAGCTGAAATTAACAGAAAGAAGTTGGACACACAAACATGTTGTAGTTAGCAGAAAGAATAAGAAAGGTGCACAAAACAGCTGAAAAAGCAGCTGAAAGAGAAGTCCAGCCTTTTCTGGTTGAGGACCACGGCCTCGGATCTGGAGGTGCTGATCCTCATCCCGGCCGCTTCACACTCGGCTGCGAACCGCTCCAGTGAGAGCTGAAGATTTGTTTTCACACTCTTTAAACTTTGTATGAATCTTATTACTATCGTGCTTTAGAGGATGGTGGTTGTACATCTCGCCTCCTCTCAGCCTCCGCTGCTCCTCGCTGCTCCTCGCTGCTCCTCCTCTATATCAGGATGTTTGTTTGCAAAGCCTCTGAGCTTGTCGGCCACACTGATGGTGTCTGTGTGTGTCCTGCCATGAATGCTGGTGTCCTGCCTGCAGCAGACTGACGGCCCAGACGGAGCCATCGAGCTGCTCAGCATCCGGCTAAACGTTCCCCGTACAAAACGCAGCGAAGCACCGAGCGCGTGCACGTGCCGTGAAATCACTTGACTCGGGGACAGTTCACACACGCTCACGTCCCTCGGCAACAAAATAATGTGCACGGCCTCGAGTAGGTTTGCAAGCCGTGCACGAAAAGGTAGGCCAAGATTTTTTAAAGTGGGCCGCTAATTTTTTTATTCATATTTTATTTCTACAGGTTAGTCTCATTGAGTCACGAGGACTCATTTACAACAGAGACCTGTTTTAGACAAAGAACAGAAGAGGTACACACAACAATAAACTGTCATCAAATATAAGATGAAAAGTAAATAAAAGTAGTGATGTATAACAAAATTTAAAAAAGCTACATTATGAAATGAGGTAAAATACTAAGAACAGGAACATGTCTGCATTGGATTTTACATTGAACTTAACAATGTTTAAAATCCCTTAGAGGTCAAAGGTCGAGAGCTTCAGATCTTTTTCCAAGATATTCCAGGAAACGGGAGCGGAGTAGGAGAAGGCCCTTTTACCGAATTCAGTCCTCACTGAGGGAACACTGCAGGTAATAATGTCCTGAGAGCGCACGCTGTAGCTGCACTCACACAGAGACATGTAGGAGGAGATGTATGAAGGCAGCAGACCAGGAATTTAAAGATGAAAATGTACCAGGGAGAGAGTCTGCGTGAAGCTAATGGTGACCAGTTAACCAGTGAATACTGGGTGCAGTGGTGGGTACGGTAGTTACAACCAGTTATGAATCTTAGTGCACCATGATAGACAGCATCCAACATCTGCAGCATCCAACATCTGCAGCATCCAACATCTGCAGGGTTCTTGTAGGAGCGTTCATGTAAATAATGTCACCGTAATCGATGGAGGGAAGGAAAGTCACAGATACAAGGTGTTTCCTAGCATTCGGCGTTAAACAGGATCTGTTTCTGAAAAAGAAACAGTTTTAATTTCTTTTTTTTTAATCGTTTTTGACATGTGGTTTAAAAGAGAGATGTGCATCGACCACGATTCCCAAGTTTTTGTAAGAATCGACAAACTCAGTAGGAACACCATTCGTAGATAAGACAGAAAAAAGGACTGCTGGCACCGGCTCTCTGTTTGAAAACGACATCCCTTTGGTTTTACCAGCATTTAGCACCAGTTCGAGATGGAACAGGTCTGACTGGATGATGTCGAATGCAGACTGTAGAAGCTGGAAAACCTTAGCAACTGTTTTAGCTCGGCAATAAACAATTGTATCATCAGCATAGAAATGAAAGGATGCATCAGGCATGATCTGACCTACATTACTATGTTGATTGTAAAGAGGGTGGGTCCTAAGACTGAGCCTTGTGGTACACATTTGTTGACGGTGAAATACGCAACAACACGTCTCACTTGGTTGAACGTCTGCCCATTTTCTCTCAATTTTGCGTCTCCAACAGTCTCAGCCTGACGAGGTTCTACTTTTAGTGATAGATGAAGGTCCTGGTGTCCTCCAGACGTCTCACTCCAGCCTCTCCACGTTGGTGCCATCACGGGACAAAAAGGCAGCATGGTGGCGAGTGATGAATGGCCTCCACCTCGGCTGCACGCAGGCTTCCACTTTGATTCCTCATGAAAGGAGCCTCATACAAGACAGGACACATAATGTGACTCGAACCCGTTTATTGCCCGGATCTTTTTCTTTTCCACTTCCAGACAGCTGCCTCTCCCTCTCTGCGTTCGGCTCTTTATGTTGCTTTCTTTCCTTTCAGTGTTTCATTTTGTGTGTGTGTGTGTGTATGATCTGTCTTGAAAGATGCTTTTGCATCTGCTCAAAGAACACAAGAGGTTGGCAAAGGAACAAGAGATGAGTGAAAGGCAGCGAGACGGGCCGAGTGTGAAGAAGTTTTCTTCTTCTGTTTTTTTTTTCCAAACCAACCGGCAAACAAATCCAATCCTGTTACCTCCCCCCGGCTCTGCAGCATTGTGGGACTGAATGGAGTACAGAGGAGGCGAGCCTCCAGCAGAGAGTCTATTGTAGGCTGATAAGGGCCCTCACTTCCAGTACTCGGAGAGGCCCCTCACACCACGCAGGATGAACGGGGGCCCCCGGCTGAGAGCCGTGGTGAACGCGTTAAATGGTCGAGGCGGGAGTTTCCTGCACGGATGCTGGGATGCAAAGAGAATCATTAGATTCCAGCGAGGCGGAGAAAAGAAGAGCGTCAGGCTTAAACAAACTCGACCAACTGCAAAATATATCCAGCGCCTGATATTCCTCAAAAGATCGCAAAATCCTCAAAGGATCGCCCGCCGCCCTTCCTGCCGATATTTGCTGAAAGCAGCAGAAATGTGAAGAAAAAGTCTAATAAAATGTTGTGTTCATTTGTCAAATTCAGGTTAACACAAGGTCAACAATGCAATGAAATGTTCAGGATGAGAATTGGTCCTTGAGGAACACCATCCTGCATGTTTTAGTTGTTTCCCTGCTCCAACACACCTAATTCAGAGATTTTATTACTTCCTGGGGTTCTGCCAAAGTCTGTTAATCACCCATTGATTCAAATCAGGTGTGTCAAAGCAGGGAAACAACTAAAACATGCAGGATGGTGTTCCTCAAGGCTCACTGTTAGAACCACTGGTATAAATAAGTATTTTACAGTAATATTATCTTAAATGCACATGATATATATTGCACATAACTAACAAACTACACAGGTTGTGTGACAGGTTATTGAGATTAATTAAATTATGATGGTAAGGTAGAGACGTACATGATGCAGCAACAATAAACATGTTACGTGTCACAGTCACAGATGTGGCTTGATGCAGTGTTATTGTCATTAGTTCAATATTATTATCCATTATATTATTATTATCTACAGTATTATAAGTATTATTATCAAAAGAACAGAAAAATAGCACAAAATGAGAAGAATAAGCTTAAATAGGCAGAGGAAGAGAAAAATGTGAAATTAGCAACAAAAACAACCTTGAAATGAGCAGAAAGTTGCAGAAAAAGTAGCAACAATAAAGCAAAAAAAAATTTCAATGAGGCAGAAGGGAACATGAAAAGTTGAAATTATTTTAAAAAGTACAAAAGGCTGAAATTAGCAGAAAAATACCTTAAAAGTAGCTGAAAAAGCTGCAAACTTAAGCAAAAAAAAAAAACAACCATTGGAATTAGTGCAAAAAAGGTGAACAAATCTGAAGCAGAACAAAATCTGAAATGAGCTTCTTTTAAATGTCACAGATTGAAGAGTGTCAAGAGCTCCATTCATTTTCAATGAGAAAAACATGGCCGACAACGCTAAATATCTCAAAGCATCAATTGCACAGAAACACAAAGTGAGAGCAGGAACGTCCAGAATGAGCCGAACGTTTTCAGACAAGAATTGTTGAAATGGAACGAAAACTGCGGGATGAGTGACGGAAAACATACGGAAGAAAACCGGATCTCAACCGTGAGAACGATTTATAAACCTTCACACAATTAATCCTTCTAATGACTCTCAGCTACTACCACGCCCAACTTTAGCCCAGTTTCTGTAAAACTGACAGAGTTATCGTCATTTACGTTATTGCTTAGGCTGATTAGCTGAAGCAGCCATTTTGAATCTAAAAGCGGATCAGCTGAACAATTAAACATCCAATAATTAGTTTCTAAGAAATTTAAAATCCATCCTGACTCGTCAGATATTTTGTTAACAAACACACAC